CCCGTCCAACACACATCCTCTCTCCTTGTCACAGCGGCTTACCGGGAAAACACTCGATGTGTGAGTCTAGGAAGACAATGACCGGCGCAGTGGACACGTAGTAGCCCAGGAGACGGGCACGAGTCAGGCCCTGGCGCTTTGTGGCGCGGACTATGTGTACCTTGGGGAAGTCGTTGAAGTATTTTTCCAGAGGCGCCTTCAGGTACTCTGGAAAATGGAGAAACTCTTGGTCATTTCTGGTACTTCCAGGCTCTTTACTCTTGAAAAAGAATCGATAAAGTTATAGGCTGTTGGTTGTTTTTTTTTAGTTTAAGTGTGGACGATTAGGAATTGATATCAACATAACTTCTGACATCTGACAAAAGGCTGGCGTGTTGGGGTTTGGGGAGTAGTCATTTGCACTGGTGACTCAATGTGACAGATGGTTGCAGGAGCATATTCGACTGTTCATCTCTACGATCCTGAACCTCGTTTGCAATCAAAATACAATAGATAAAAGAAAGAGGGTATGTTGATTAGGGCGTAGGACATTAATATACATGTTTGAAAATAATAAATTTAAAAGTGATTGCCATACGTTGGTTTTCAAAACCCGAGCTCAAAGCTAAGTCATATTCAAAATAAAGGACTTTTTTTTTCTTTTTTTTTTTTTGAGGGGTAGTGTTTTACAGCGCTCGCAACTGCATAAGTTATATGAGCGTGGGGGACACACCAAACATTTACAGTTGGAAGGAAATGTTGACTTTTTGCCCTAGAGGGGGCCAAAGCCTACTCTTATAGATTTTAGACCACCAAGGAATATTTTGCGTGCGCAATTTGCACACGGGATCTCCGAGATTTTTCGCCCTTGTCCGAGAAGGCTAGGAGTAGATCTTTCCTACCAGCAGATCAGAGGTGTGGCTGAAAGACAACGGTATGAAGGAGCCAAGGAGTAGCAGTAGAAAGGCTGCAGAAAGAATCTGGGGCCCAGAAGAGGGGGCAAAGGAGGTGAGGTGTGGGGGGCAGAAAGTGGAGACGAAAGCAGACGACAGAACATTGCTAGAGAACAGAAAAAGAGGTGAAAGGAGACAATTTTTTTAGAGAAGAAAATTTGTCGGTCGCTACCCGGATTCGAACCAGGGACCTTATATTGAGAGACGAACACCTTAACCTCTAAGCCAAGAGAGACCCCTAAAGGACTTAAAATAGCAAGTCAGTACTAATAGTAGTCATTGCACCTTTGGAGGAGAAGTCGTCCACGAGTATGATCTCCTTCAGCAGGTTGGCCGGCGTGCGGGCTATGATGCTGTGCACAGACCGGAGCAAGACCGTCCAAGCCTCGTTGTGGAAGATGATGATCACGCTCACCTGCTGGAGGTAGCGACTGTAGCCCTGCGCTTGTTGTTTGCACCTGTGCAATTCAGAATGATTACTACTTTTAATGTCTCTTCAAAGATATGATAGGATAATACTTTATTGTCCAAGAAAAGTTTCCCTCTGGGAGAATAAAGTAGTATCTTATCTTATCTTTGATGAGACAGTTTTGATGATGATAAACAATTAATGATAAGTATTTATATAGCGCATAATACTCATGCTCTTCAGCATTCTCTATGCGCTGTACAACTACATGTAAATGTGTTATTACCCAAGAAGACCTCGGGACACTCAGAAATATGCTCAACTTCCCTGGAAGCATACAGTGCAAGCTTCCATTTTACAGACGTTAGAAGGCTAAATATTGACAACAACTTTCGCAGTCTATGGCGGGTACCCATGACAGAGATGAGGAAACTTCGTGTAAAGTGCTTACCACAAACACAGAACATCAAGATGAGCGTTGTGTTTTTACTGTTGTCGTTGCTGCTGCTGCTGCTGCTGTTGCCGTTGCTGTTCTTTGTTATCTGTTTTATTTTCTGCTTTTTTGTTTTTGTATGGAATGGATACAGCGACGATAATGAAAAGCAGGGGTGTTTTGTTGCATAGATTAAGAAATTTGTTCGAAGATCTTCCCGCTGACTTTGTCTAAGTGAAATAAAGTTTTATTAGCAGGGTGTAATAAAAGATATAACAGACCTCTATAAAAAAAAAGATAAACAAGAAGTAGAGCCGGTGATCAGAGATTCTTCCAATACAAACAGTTCGTTCAGTTCTGGTTTAGTAGAGGTTTTATGGCGCTCGCAACTGCATAAGGTCATATGAGCGTCAGAAGATTAGAGGCGTTACAAGAGAGTAACAAACATAAAAAAGAAGAAGGGGAGATAAGGACGATAGATGTTTGATAGGAAAGAAGAAGCAAACCACACCAAAGCACCCGCCAACCACCCACTCAGTTCTGGTAATAGATGCTAAAATAATAATAAGCTACGATTTTCCGTTCATTTCTACGCTGAGCAGAGAATTCAACACAAAAAGTCCGCCTTCCATACGAGCGAGCCCAGTAGATAGAAGGCGTGAAGACAACTCATGCAATTTGAGTTCAAAAACGAGGGTAAA